CCCCCCCCCCCACCCCCAATGCACACTCAAGTAAATGGCTACATTGTTTTAGTAACACCAACCTTACAAGCGAGTGAGAACTCTTATCTTTTTGTTCTGCAGAGCTGCTTTTCAGTTTGGTATCAAGATGTCTGAAGGACGCAAAACACGGCGTGCAGGCCCCAAAGACGAGAAGGCTAAGCTAGACAGAGATTGGCAAAAAATCAGTCAGGTAGGGACTTGTATTTCACTCATTGAGAAATGCAACTTTTCTGAGGTGGGTGTTCTTTCTGCCTACGTTATTTTGTGGGTGCACTTCAGCCAAGAATGTTTTTTTTTATGGTTTGTCACAGACATGTTTGATGACAGTGCCCTAAGTATATACTCTTTTGATTGAGAGAAAAGTATTGATAGATATTTCCTAAATTAAGTGAAAGAACTAGCAAGAGTTTAAAAATTCTTTGAGTCAATATCTTTTAACTTAGAAAGATTACAAACTAAATTCATAGTCGTGTAAAAATGTGTACTAGCATAATTTGATTTCCTATTGTTTGCCATATATGTACCTGTAAAAGTCATTTGTCAATTTTTTATGCCCTTTTTTTGTCAGATGTTGACCAAAAGAAAAGGAGATGAAGGGTAAGTAGTACAAAACTAGTTAACTGTGAAAAAATGTCACTTAATAATCATCATTAAACATGGTACAGTATGTTTAATAATGATTAAATAATTCATGTCGTACCCAAGTTATATATTTTTGGCAGATTGCATGCTATTTTGTTTATGCTTAGTTTGGCTGAGTAGCGGTGAGCGCTCTGAAGGAGAATATACAGAATGAATTAGTAACATAAGATTTGTTTGTTTGTGATGATGACCATACTTAGGACACCTTATGATTCTTGACATATTTTAGTGATTACTCAAAATTGAGTCTGAACAGCACAAACAAGTCTGTGTTCATTGCTTGCTCGATAGTGTCACATGTCTTTGTAAATTATAACATTAGTTCCCAAATCGGGGAGGACCTGGTCAAGATTAGTATCACTTCAAAGGTATAGTTTTCTGAGTTAAATAATGAGACTGCAGCCCAAGCATTTTCAAATTCAGTTAGTGCCCTGAACTATTTTGGATCAGCCGATCTGGATTCAAGCCTTGGCTGGTGTCATTGTGTTGTGTTTGTAGGCAAAACACTTTACTCTTAGTGCCTGTCTATTTAACAATTAGACCCATAGCCCGCAAGGGCTACGGGTCAATAGCCCATGAGGC